ACGACTGTCGGCCCAGCCAAGACTGCCATAACTTGCCTGGCTCCTACCAGTGCACCTGCCCTGATGGCTACCGCAAGATCGGACCTGAGTGTGTGGGTGAGTCTACGAAGTGGCCTCTCTAGTCCCTGCTCTGTCCCTGGCCTGGCTCTTGCCCTAGCACCTGATGCCCATTCAATCCTCACTTCCCTGCCACCTCCACCTTTCTGTCATCAGACACAGACGACTATATGGTGTGTGGAGGGGTGTCCTACTGACCTGGCCTGTGCCATCTCCCATCTCTGGCCCATGCCAGATGCAGGCAGGACGTTGGGTGGTGAGACCTTGAGTCCCAGCTGGCTGGGTCCCCACCTGACCTGTGCCTTCTGCTCTTACTTTTCCTCCACCCTAGACGTAGATGAGTGTCGCTACCGCTACTGCCAGCACCGCTGTGTGAACCTGCCCGGCTCCTTTCGCTGCCAGTGCGAGCCGGGCTTCCAGCTGGGGCCCAATAACCGCTCCTGTGTGGGTGAGGCGGGGCTGGGCCAGGCTCCTGGCTCCTGGGCAGGGAGGTGTGAGGTGGGGAAGCTCCCTTCCTAATCACCCAATTGAATGGGGACTCTGGGCCCTTCCACTTTTCTCTCCCATTTCTCCTGCCCCCCCCCAGATGTGAATGAGTGTGACATGGGGGCACCGTGTGAGCAGCGTTGCTTCAACTCCTACGGGACCTTCCTGTGCCGCTGTCACCAAGGCTATGAGCTACACCGGGATGGCTTCTCCTGCAGTGGTGAGAGCTGCACCTGCCACGTGCTCCTCCGCTGGCCCCCAGGCCCTGCAGCAGGCCATACCTCCGACTGCACAGTCCTCTGTAGGGCCTCTGTGCCTCACCCACTCTGTATGGAGCAATCAGGCCCCTGCTGAAGCCCACTGGGCAGACCGAGAAGGCTGTGGGTGCCGTCCTTCCTGGGAACTGGGCTGACTTGCATTCAGATCCTGCTTTAGGGCAAACCATTCCAGTCCATGCCTTTCTTCTTCTGTAAAGTGGGTTGTGTTCAGAACTAAGTGGGGCCATGGTAATAGGCTTCATCAAGTCTCCAGCAGCAGTGCATTAACGTGAGCTACTTGACTGAGAACCTACCCTGAGTGGTGCAATTTCCTTACATACTTGGCTCACTCAATCCTGTCAACAATCCTAGGAGGTTTAAGAATGATTTCTTTTTCCTTCTTCTGCAAATGAGGACACCAATATCTCCTTCCAGGTCTATTAGGAAGATTACAAAAACTAAGGGAGATAAATGACTATTATTTTTTTTTTTTTGGAGAGATTTTCGCTATAGGGTGCGTGCGCTTGCCAGACAGAGAGAGACATACAGACAGAAAGCGAGAAATCACCCCCCGAGTGTGACATGGGGGCACCGTGTGAGCAGCGTTGCTTCAACTCCTACGGGACCTTCCTGTGCCGCTGTCACCAAGGCTATGAGCTACACCGGGATGGCTTCTCCTGCAGTGGTGAGAGCTGCACCTGCCACGTGCTCCTCCGCTGGCCCCCAGGCCCTGCAGCAGGCCATACCTCCGACTGCACAGTCCTCTGTAGGGCCTCTGTGCCTCACCCACTCTGTATGGAGCAATCAGGCCCCTGCTGAAGCCCACTGGGCAGACCGAGAAGGCTGTGGGTGCCGTCCTTCCTGGGAACTGGGCTGACTTGCATTCAGATCCTGCTTTAGGGCAAACCATTCCAGTCCATGCCTTTCTTCTTCTGTAAAGTGGGTTGTGTTCAGAACTAAGTGGGGCCATGGTAATAGGCTTCATCAAGTCTCCAGCAGCAGTGCATTAACGTGAGCTACTTGACTGAGAACCTACCCTGAGTGGTGCAATTTCCTTACATACTTGGCTCACTCAATCCTGTCAACAATCCTAGGAGGTTTAAGAATGATTTCTTTTTCCTTCTTCTGCAAATGAGGACACCAATATCTCCTTCCAGGTCTATTAGGAAGATTACAAAAACTAAGGGAGATAAATGACTATTATTTTTTTTTTTTTGGAGAGATTTTCGCTATAGGGTGCGTGCGCTTGCCAGACAGAGAGAGACATACAGACAGAAAGCGAGAAATCACCCCCCAGGGGGATGGCCACCCCACAATCCCTTCTCCTCCATTCTCCTCTCAGGATCTTCGGCACGCCCGCACACGTGCCCGGCGTGAGTTTTAAGCGTTCTGGGACGCGAACCGCAGTCGACTATGTGGGAGTCCAGCGACATAGCCATTACGCTAACTGCTGGTTCCCATGACTATTGTTATTCAACTAAGAGGTGCAGCGACTTGCTCAGGTTCATGCAGCAAGGGTGAGATGGGCAAGGGCTCGGCCCAGACTTACTACTCCATGCCACCTAGCATGTACCGTTTAGGTTGTGCTTGCTGCAGAGGAAGCCTTCATTGGTCCCTGGCTGTGTGGATGGGCACAAGGTCAGAACAGTTTCCTGCCTGGATGACACCATAGGCTAAGGGGGGGTAGGATGCTTGGGCTGATTGGGGATCGAAGGAATGGGCAGGTTATTGAAAACTAGAGCAGGTTGGGCTCTCAAGACTCATCCAATCCACTCATTTTACTGTCAGGGAAATTGAGGTTCCCCAGAATCAGTCAGTAGGACTCACGCTCAAGCCTGCGGATTCCCAGTGCTTTTGTTCAGTAACTTACAGTCCTGGGGCAAAGAGAGAAGCTGTGACCTGGGGCGGGTGGGACAAACCTTTGAGCCCGCTGTTCCCCTACTAAGTTTGCAGGACTTGTCTTCCCACACTGAGTCTAACAAGGGGTGGGGCTTTCTCAACAAACATCTTTGGGCCCGAACTGTGAGAACTACCTCGGCCTAGTGTCCTCATCCCCCCTTTCCTCAGATATCGATGAGTGTAGCTATTCCAGTTACCTCTGCCAGTACCGCTGTGTCAATGAGCCAGGCCGCTTCTCGTGCCACTGCCCACAGGGCTACCAGCTGCTGGCCACACGCCTCTGCCAAGGTATAAGCTCCCCGGGTGGGGCGGGTGGGGTGGTGTCCGGGGCTGGTGGCCCTGATGCCCCTGATTCCAGCCCCTCTCCCCTGACATAGACATCGATGAGTGTGAGTCTGGTGAGCACCAGTGCTCCGAGGCCCAAACGTGTGTCAACTTCCACGGGGGCTACCGCTGCGTAGACACTAACCGCTGTGTGGAACCATACATCCAGGTGTCTGACAAGTGAGTCAATGCATTTCCAGGCGCCTTAAGAAACTACAACTCCCAGAGGGCTCAGGGGCTGACTGGCATCTGTTTGGGCTTGCAATCGCCCCTGAGGGCTGATGGGAGCTGTATCCTTCATGAGTAACCCATGGAAGCTGTTGTAACAGAGGTGGGCAAGTGCTTTGCAGATTTCCTTCTTTTGGAGGTGTGGTTTGGGGCATGGGCTCATACCTCACTGTGTCTCTCATCTTGGGGTCTCTAGCCGCTGCCTCTGTCCAGCCTCTAATCCCCTGTGTCGAGAGCAGCCTTCATCCATCGTGCACCGCTACATGAGCATCACCTCAGAGCGCAGCGTGCCTGCCGATGTGTTCCAGATCCAGGCAACTTCTGTCTACCCCGGCGCCTACAATGCCTTTCAGATCCGTGCTGGAAACTCGCAAGGGGACTTCTACATCCGGGTAAGGCTTTCCAACCCCAGCCCTGGACTGGCATGCATGACCTGAAACTGAATTCTAGAAGGCCTTAGTGGGAGGCTTGGTTTTGCCACTATGTCCCACCTCATCTCGGAAAGCCGAACCCCCAGGACATGTCTTTTTTTGTTATTTGAAGAATTGTATTTAACTTTATTTATTTTAATTTGACCAGAGAGGGACAGAGGAAGAGACAGAGAGGAGCGGGGAAAATGAGAAAGCAAGCTGCCAGGTCTGGGACTTGAACCACAGTCAGCTACGTGGGAGTCCAACGCCTTTAACCACCACACCACCTGCTGGCCCCCTTTTTAAATTTATGTTATTATTTTTAAAATTTGACCAGAGACAGAGACAGAAAGGGAAGTGAGAAAGCAAGCCACCATGTCTGGGACTCGAACTGTTATTGACCATGTGGGAGTCCAGCACCTTAACCACTGCACCACCTGCTGGCCCCTTGTTTTTAAGAGAGAATTTTTTTTTTTTCTTTTTTTTTGCTATAGGGTGCATGTACTCACTGGAGAAAGACAGAAAGTGAGAAATCACTCCCTAGGGGAATGGCCATGCTGCAATCCCTTCTCCATTCTCTTGGGATTCGAGGCACACACAGCATTTGTCCAGTGTGAGTTTTAAGCCACCAGGTCTGGAACTCGAACTCCCATTTCACCATCTGCTGGTCCCAGGAGGTGTCATTTTTTTGGTAGGAAGATCAGGTAGACACTACAGATGGTGAAATCCAGTTCTAAGAAAGTACTTGGACACTGGGGTTTGAGTCCCAGAACTGCTTTTTCCTACCTGGCCTCAGTTTCTTCACCTGTAGAACAAGGGAGTAGCTAGCATGGCTTGTGAGGAGCTTGGGCTCAGAGAGAATCCAGCTGTGTGTGGTGGAACTGCAAAGTCAGGGCAGTTCAGGTGTGGCTTACAGTGAGAGGCGCACCGGGGCCTCAAACCTGCAATCCTCATGCTATATTCCACATGAGAAGGTGTTCCTTTGATAAAAGCACTTGGTTTTTAATGGTTGAAAGGGAGTCTGCCTACTCCAGGTCACCAAAGGCTCCACCACTCCTAAAAGTCCCACCTGGCCTTTAGTCCCCACTGGACCCTGGTTAAACAGAAGAAAAGGGACAGAAGAGCACCAGTGGGACAGCTCCAAAGGCAGGAGCCTGAGTGCAGGAGGGGAAGGAGATGTCAAGGGTGTCAAAGAGCCTGGTCACAGCCTGGCCAGGGCTCTCTCCACCTCCCCGCCACAGGGCAAGGAGGTGATGCTGGGCCAGGGTCCTGGCTCGTAAGCTGACACAATGTACATGTCTCCCCTCCACTGTGCCCTGCAGCAAATCAACAATGTCAGTGCCATGCTGGTCCTCGCCCGGCCGGTGACGGGCCCCCGGGAGTACGTGCTGGACCTGGAGATGGTCACCATGAACTCCCTGATGAGCTACCGGGCCAGCTCTGTACTGAGACTCACCGTCTTCGTGGGGGCCTACGCCTTCTGAGGAGGGGGTGAAAACCCTCAGGAGCGGGAGGAAGGGGGCCACCCTCCCTCAGCCCCCTGTGTCCAAGGAGCTCGGGGCTCAGGGATGTGTTCTGCTCAAAGGGAAGATGTTGTGAAGGGCAGAAAAAGAAAGGCAATAAAGGAGTGCTGGTGCCGAGGGGGTGGGTCACACTGCAGCAAACCTCAGACTGGGGAAGGGGCCGGGCTCGCAGCAGGCAGGCAAATCCACCTAAAGGGGGGCTCTGTGCTCCAGCTGAGAGGACCCCGCTGATGGGAGCCAGGAGCTACATGCCACACATGAGCTTCAGAATCACTGGGAGGGGTGGAGGTAATGAGGTGTGCAGGCTTCAGGCTCCAGCCCAGAGATCTGGCCTTGGCAGGTTTGCAGGGTGCTTGAGAAACTCCCTGTGGACAGTGCCAGGAGGCCCTGGGTTCTGGTCCTAGCTCTGCCTCAAATTATACATTTGGATAAGCCCTGGTAGCTCCCTGAGCCTGTTTTCCAGTCTAGGAAATGAGGTAACCAGACTGTTAGTGGTTTTCAAGCTTTTCTTTTGCAAGCTACAGAACCTCTTTTCAAAGGAAATTTTATTTGCTCGAGGACCATCTGATTATATAAAGCAGACTCAAAGTTGCAATGCCCCACTGACTCTGTTGTCCTGGCTGGGAACCCCAAGGTCCTGAAGGTCTTGGTTTAAAAACCATCAGACCAAGTGGTCTCCCCATTTCCTCAGTATTTTCCAAGGCCCCTGGCATCTCTTCTGAAACATGTAAGTCTGCAAGCACTTAGATTTTCATTATAGCCCAGAAGATCCTGGTTGAAAGGCAGGTTAGCCTGGGTGGGTGGAGAAGTGGCAAGGGTCGTGTCTGTCTCATGGTGTAGATCAGGTCAGGGGACTGTAGCTACAGTAGAGCTGGGATAAGGTCCTACTCAGTGCGGGCCCCAGATTCCTGCAGGAAAAGAAGCAGTAAGAGTCGGGCTCTGGACGTGGGCAGCTCCAGGCCCCTGCCACTCGAGGTTCTGCCTCACCTCTGCAGACGCCCACACTTGATGGTACTCAGCAGCAACTCCTGTTCCTTGGGGGTAGCACAGGCATCATAGGCAGCCAGGAGGCTGGAGATGGGGTGGAGAGTTTGGGTTTCTAAGGCTTGACAATGGCCGACTGCTGGCCCACAGAGTGGCTCTGGGCCAGCACCATGAGAGGCAAGGCAGGGAGGGTCAGCGTGGGTAGAATGACAAGTCAGGACACTGTCACACTTCCTGAGCCTGGCATTCAAGGCCCTGCTCCATCCTGACTGCCCTACCTTCCTGCGGGAACACTGAGGCAAGAAAGCAAAGGCTCTAGAAGTTCTCCCAGTCTCCATAGCCCAGCCCCCTGCTTCAGGAAGCCTTGTCTGCCCCACTAAGGAGATCATCTCTCTCCTCTCCTGTGGCCTCCCCCACAGTATGGGATACTGTTTGATCCCAGCTGGCTATCTTCCTGCTTGACCTCCATGAGCCCCCCAGAGTTCAGCAAGATCTGCCCATCTCTGGGTTTGCACACCCTATACAGCCAGCCTACTCAAAACTGGTTAAGCTGAATTCCATGCAGGGAAGGTCAGGGCTGAGAACCCCTAAGGAGCTCCCTGGGGGCCTACCTGGCAGGAGTGCTGTATCGATCCACCAGGGCTGCTGCTTTCTCCCCACTCACCCCACGCACCTGCATCAGCTGCCGGGCAAACACATCCCGCACTGACTGGGCCTGGGATGGGGAAAGACTGTATTTGGGTGGTCTGGGACCAAGCCGTAGAAGGAGAAGCTAGGCAGGGGCAGTACCTTGTTCTTCATGGCTCCTGTGTTGAAATCACTGAAAGTGAGGAGTGAGCAGAGAGGGTTTTGAGAGGGCCTGGCTTCTGCTTCAGGGTCCCCTGGGGTGCCCCAGGGGCGGCTGTGTAGGGTGTGGCCCTGAAGGAAGAGAGGATTGAGACCAAGCTCTAAGGGACAACCCTCAGCCTGTCCTTGCCCAATCCTAGGCCAGCCTGAGAAACAGGGAAATCTCACCTACCTTGCCTCCTCTGGGGAAGCACAGGGTCCAGTGCTGGACAAGTGTGTCCACTCACCTGGTAGAGTCTCTGCAGGCCCCGTGTCAAGAGGGCCAGGTAGGCAGCTGACTCCTTAATGTCTGCTGTGCGTTTCACAAAGAAGCCGTCAATGACCTGGAGAAAAGGACCCAGAAGGATGGCTCCTGGTCTGAACTATGACCTCAGGGAGCCCTGCCAGCCTAGCCCTGCTGCCTCAGCTCACCTGAGTGTTGGTGACTGCCTGCAGCAGTGTGCTCTCAGGAAGGCTGAGGTTGTGGACTGAGCCATGCTCTTCCACCAGGTATACGCGACGCCCCAGGCCACAGCGCTTCAGCCGGAACTGGGGAGGTGGACAGAAAGGGTGGGCCAGGTCAGGCCTGGATGCCCATATGCCTGGGCTTTCCACATATCACACTCAAAATCATGATGTTCTTCTGGTCCCACCAATTAGTCTCCTTGTCCTCTCTAGCCTCTCTGCCTGTCTCCAAGGGGACTGCCCACCTTTGTTCATGCCGTTACTCGAGTTGAAAGCCTGTCCACCATCTTTGAAGGACGCCCACCCTTCGAGCCTTCCTTGGCATACATATGGCCTGTCTGACCAAAGGATGGGCCCAACACCCAGAACCAAGGAGCAGCCTCTACATTTCCACTCCTGGGATTTAGCTTATTTATCCTAGGCTAGAGGGACTGGGGCCCCAAATGGTCTTCACTGTGCTCCCTAGCCCAGCCCAGCGCAGATCTCCTACATTCCTACAGGGCCTGATGGGCCTGAGGGGGCTGATCCTAGAACAGCTCTAATACGGTATAGCTGGAGTCCATGGGGGCTCTGCTTCATTGAAGCCACCCAGAAGTGTCTGTGGATTCCTCTGGGCTGAGGAGGCCCTAGAGCAGGCAGTATGTCAGGGTCAGCAAAAGAACCTTCTGCTCCCGGAAACGGCCATCGATGATGCTGCTGCACAGGTCGTCCAGTCGCTTGCGCTCCACAATGTGGTCCAGGACTAACTCCCCCGGTCTCGCTGCCAAGAAGCCATGAAGTGTCCTGCTGGCTTACATCCCCCCACCCACTAGGCCCTACCTCAGCTGCTGCTCGTCATGGCCCTTTACCTGGGTCTCTGGGCCTGGTCTCCTGTGCCACCCAGATGAAGTCCCCAACGTGCAGCTTGCGCACCATGTGGGTCACGTGCAGCCGCTGTAGCTCTCGGAGCAGCTCTGGCCTCTGTCCTGCTCTGGAGTTGCAAGAAGTGAGGCCTAGGTCAGGGCAGGCCAGTACCCACCCCCAACCCCCCGCATCCTCTGTTCATTTCCCTCATTTCCCCTGACCTCACTCACCCTCTGGTCTCGCCGATGTCCACACACAATAGCACCTTGTACTCTCCAGGCCTCAGCTCCAGTGGTGGCTGCTGGACTTCCCCTTCACTGGCGCCACTATGGGGATGGGATGTTAGCGCATATGAGGCCAGCCCCTCGGTGCCAGGGCAGCACACCACCCCCCACTGCGCCGCCAACCCAGCAACCTACAGGAAGCAAGACAGCCACAACCCAGCTAGGTGTTGTAGATAGGGGTGGGGTATTGGCTTCCTTTCTGGGACCCTTGCTGCCTGCTTCTTCCCCTCCTCCCCCACTCCTCACAGCTTAGCTGAGGCTGCTCCTGGCACTGCTTGCTCCTCCCCAGAGGGCTCCTCGGGCCCAATGCACACATTCAGCGAGCTCAGGCCTTCTGATTCAGCCAACTTCTGGGCCAGCTCCAGACCCTCCGGGGTCAGTGAGTACCTGGGAGGTGGAGGGGATGAACACAGTTCTCCCTTCTTCACTCATACTGGCAGGCTCTCCTGCTTGCCCCCAGCTAGACTGCCTCACCACCCCATTGGCAACTACACAAGTCCAGTCCCCCCAAGACACCAGTATTCTTGTCCCTCAGGACCTGCCCAGTGCCACTTCCCCTGTGTGTAGTATGTCTCAGACAAACTTCCTCTTCTCCTCTCTTCACTCGTGTTGTCTAGAAACACCTCTCCTACATTTCTTTCTTTCTTTCTTTTTTTTGGAGAGGTTTTTGCTATAGGGTGCATGTGCTCACCAGAAAGACAGAGAGAGACAGAGACAGAAAGTGAGGAATCACCCCCCAGGGGGATGGCCACACCGCAATCCCTTCTCCTCCATTCTCCTCTCGGGATCTTGGGCATGCACACATACGCGCCCAGCGTGAGTTTAAACCACCAGGTCCGAGACTCGAACTGTGGTCAGCTACATGGGAGTTCAGCGACATAGCCATTACGCTAACTACTGGTCCCCCTCTCCTACATTTCTACCCACCAAATCCTAAAAATGTGTCAAATGCCATCTTAGCAAAGTCCTCCTCCTCTGGAACCATGGCACTCCCCTCCTCTCTCCCTCCCACTGCCTCGGTCCCCCACACCCTCCTGGTGCTCCAAAGGGTGGGCTCCTGGGAGGAAGGCCTACTTTCCACAACCTCAGAGGCATCAGACCTGGGGAGTGCTGGTGACTACAGGGCCCCACTAACAATGCCATGCATGTTCTCATCCCTGTCTCCTCTATTCCCTGCAGCTGGTCCCACCTGGCTGGCTGGTGTGTCCTGAGGACCAGGTTCCTGTGGAGTAGGGAGCGGAGGGCTGGCCAAGATCGAGCACTCCCAGGGGCTACCTGTTGACGGGAGGACACCCTCAGAGCACCTCTGGTGCTACCCCATGTCCATGCTTCCTGTGCCCCCAGCCACGTGCCACACACAGGCCAAGCCCTGCACCACTGTTCACCACCAAGAAGGGCAGTCAGGCCAGTTCTGTGGTGCAGCAGAAATGCACTGCTCAAGTGAAGCTGGATCTCACACAGAAATGCCAGTTTGAATCCCCAGGCAGGTCAGCCCAAAACCATGCACTGGGTATATGCATGAGTGTTCAAGATCTGACAGGTTGGAGTCTGGAGAAAAGGGATCGTGGCACAACCAGACCCCATTTAGGGTGCTCGTCTCTGTCTCTCTTGTGCATGCATGTGGGTATGCACACGCTCTACCATGCATAAAGAAAATAAATGAGAAGTAGAAGGAAGGGCAGCCTCTGGGCTCTATAGCCACTGGGGCTTGTCCTCTTCCACCTTGGTGCTCACCCTGAGGGCCTTCTGAGCACACCCCTGCAGCAGCTCCTCCTTGGTTAGGAAGGTACGGCCATGAGGATTCTGAAACCAAGGTAGAAACACAGATTCAGTGCTGGGCTCTACCTTGCCCTGCCCAGGTGGCCGGGATGATCTTTGCCTGCCTTGCCCAGACCAGGCTCCTTTGGGAGCCTTCTGTCCAGCTGCCTCAGTTCCCAACTCCCAGGTGGTGGGCACTCACCAGGTGCTCCTGGTAGAGCAGCAGCAGCACAGCTCGGGCCCCTGAGTGCCGGGCTGGCCAGTAGGTGCCAGAGCCTCCTGCTCTGGGCTGGACAGAGATCTGAAATGTACAAGGGACTCTGAACGCGAAAACCAATCATCGCCCTGCATCCTGGCAGAGATGTGATTTCAGCTGACTGCGCGGCCCGAGACAAGTCACTCAGCTCTTCTTCAGTTTCTGTATCTATAAATAACCCAGGTGATGGAACTATCTGCAAATTTGGGAGGGGACAGTGGACAGCAGGGCAGGAGCAGGCTCTGGAGGTTACTGCCTGGCCCAACCTCAGTTCTACCATCCCCTGCAGGTCAGGAGTGGTTAAGACAAGAGCTCTCTGTAACTGCAACCACACAGCTTAGTGCCAGGCCCTCTAGGTAGCCTGATCACAGATCTCTCAACAACTGTTATCAATACCCTTATTTACAGATTAAAATACCAACTCAGAGAGGATGAGCCACTTGCCCAAGGCCGGGCATCCCTCATGAGATTTTGGATCCAAGCCTGTTAAGTCCCCCAAGCCAGAAAACTGCATTCCCACTTTGCCTTCCACTCCCCATGTAACCTTTCTCACTGGCACAGAAGAGTCTTGGACTTCAGCAGGTGGCTCTTCCCCAGGTGGACTCTTCTCTCCAGATAGTGGGCCTGGGGCATGGTCACCTGTGGGAGAAGAGTCAACTCCAGGGACCAGCAGTTAGCGTAATGGCTATGTTGCTGGACTCCCATGTAGTCGACCACAGTTTGTGCCCCGGATCCAGTGGCTTAAATTCATGCCGGGCGTGTGCGTGCGTGCCCAAGATCCCAAGAGGAGAATGGAGAAGGGACTGCGGTGTGGCCATCCCCCCTGGGGGGTGATTTCTCGCTTTCTGTCTGTCTCTGTCTGGGCGAGTTACACGCGCCCTATAGCAAAAACCTCCTCCCCCCTCCCCCCAAAAAAACGAGTCAACTCCACACCCCTTTGGAATTCAGGAGCTGCCAGGGTTGAGGATGCAGTCCCCTCAAGAGAACAGTGAGGCTCTGAGAGCACCATAGCCACTAGCCTGAGGTCAAACGGCACCGTGGACAGGAGTCTGGAGAGCCAGAAGCCCAGATATCCAGGTGGGTACCCAGGCTGCACCTGGGGAGGTAGACACTCACCAACCGAAGCTTGGTGCTGCTGCAGCCGCTCGTCCAGCATCCGGCAGAGGCCGTCTCCGAAGTGTTGTAAGATCTTAGCTTCTTTACCGCTGCGCAGAGGCAGCGGGTACCGTCGGAGGGAGCGCAGCGCCTGGCGGGGGTAGGCGGTAGGGTACCGGGTCAGGGCAGGTCTGGTCTGGCTCGGCCAGCACCGTTTCCCATCGGACCCAGCAGACCCACCTTCTGAAACACAAAGCGCGTACGGCGCCCCCTGCTGGCTGCTTCGTCTCGCCACTCGGTCAGCCAGCGTACGAAGAGCGGGTTGGGGCAAGCCGGCAGCGGGCGTTTTCGGCCCAGGCGGACCGTAGCCGCCATGAGTTCCTAGGCGGGTCCTCAGGCGTCTCACGCCCGCGGAACTCGGACGCGCCAGTTCTAGGGTCAGGTTTCGAACACTGGGCTCGAATGGGAAATGGGGTGAGGGCGGGATCTCTGCAGTCACGTGGTCCCACGCGAGGGTCTAACTTGAGCATAACCTCCTACCTTCCCTCCCGCCCCGGCTTTGCTCTAAGTGGTTGGGCACTGCCGGCCGCTGCCTCCACCGCCTCTCGCCTCGGCCCTCCCTCCAGCCAGGCCCAACCTTTGGGCCCTCCCCGCCCTTTCCCCTGCTCCGGACCCGCTTCTTCCTCCCATCCCGGATTCGAGAGCGGAGTCATCTTTATGCAAGCCAGAGGAAAACGGACAGCGCCCCCCGCGACTGGGAGGGCCCCCTGGGGTGACGCTTTATGGTGTAACTCGAACTTCGCTGCTTTAAAGTCTACCGAGATTGTCAGTTTCACCCTCACCCTCGCGGAAGAGGCTGGAGAGACTGGGCTGGACATGAGTCCAGGAGAGGTCGTGGTAGTGGGCAAACGGGCACATGTCTATTTGTGGGAAGGACCCCCATATTGAGGAAGGGGTGCGGGGTATGAAGACACAAAGGTAAGGCACAATAAACTCAAGCACCTGAAGAAGAAAATGGTGGTCCCAAGTCACGCGACACAGGACAAGAGTGTGTGCGTGTGTGTGTGATGGGCGATGTTGGTGGCGTGCAGAGAAGTCCCAAGGGAGTAGAATTGAGGAAGAGGGAAAGGGGGCCTGGGTCATGGTCACCTGTGGGAGCAGCAGCTCCTACTTGGAGCTGTAAGAGGTACCGGGCATCTCGGCGGGTGAGCGAGGAGATGCCTGCGAAGGACATATGGTTAAATCTGGGGTAGTTGGGACCAGCAGGTGGCGTAATGGTTACGTCGCTGGACTCCCACACGCCCGACCGTGGGAGTCCGGACCCAGAGGCTTGAAACTCACGCTGGGAGTGTGTGCGTGCGTGCCCAGATCCCGAGAAAAGAATGGAAGAGGCGGGATTGTGGCGTGGCCATTCTCCCTGGGGAATGATTTCTTGCTCGCTCTGTCTCTCTCCAGCAAGCTCACGCACCCGATAGCAAAAAATCTCTTAAAAGATTGGGGGAGAGCAGGCTGGGAGTAAGAAGTCCAGAGGTAAAGGGGAACAATTCGTTGTTTTTGTGGCTCGTTTGAGGTGGGTGACCCTCCGAAAGGTTGAAGATGGAAATTCCGCCAAAGTGATCCCAGGGTGAGGGACACGCATTGCGGAATTGGGTACAGTGGTCACAGTAGGGGCTGAAACAGCTCCCGGCCTCTAGTAGTCATGCCAGAAATCGCGATGTGCCGTTCTCCCGCCTGAGAGAAGGGGAGAGGGGCGCCGGAGCCCCAGACCGGCCCTTTGCGACTCCACCTAGCCATCCGCCGGGCATCTGCTGCCGACTCTGGACTCCCACCTCCTGCCTAAATCTGCCTTATAAGGAGCCTGTAGCCGCTTTCGGGCTGGCTCCGCCCCCTCTAGTCTCTTGTCCTAATAAGGACATCTAGGGCATCCCGAGGCTGGGGGCGGCTGGAGTGCGTCTCCAGGGTAACTGCGAAACCCCCTCTACCCGCTCGCTGGTCTTGGAAACTCCGACGCTCGAAAAAGATGGAGCTAGTGTTTTAAGGCACAGGCACTTAAGGAAGGCGGGGGGTCTAGTTGCAGCCCCCACTCGGAGCTCTGGAGAGCTCGGCAGGTGGGCGGTGTGGCCGATGTCTCTGACTACAACCCCCGACATGCTTCGCGAGGCACCCCACTCCTAGGCGTTTCTCTCCATTTACACCCTTCATTCTGCTTTTGGCATCGGTGCCCTCAGTTAACGTTTCTGGATTCTCCTGTCTTGTTTGGGACCCTGTTTTCTCTCCCTGTAGTGTAAGTCATGGCCTTTGTTCTAGAACAATAAAATCTTTCCGGAGTCCCCCACCCAAGTGTTTTTTCTTTCTTTTCTTTTTTTTCAGATTTACACTCCCACAGATCTTGTGTCTCAATGTTTGTACTAGAATACTTATGTATCTGGCTATTAACTCGATAACTGTGCTTGTTGGGTTTAATATCTGTTTTTGTTCCTCCCTGCTTGTGAAAAACATAAGGCAGCACTGAAATGAATGCACAACCTCTCGCCCTTCCCCCTAAATTGCCTCATGAATTCACCAAACATCCTTTAACGACAACAAAGATTTCCTTGTAACTTCTCCTCTGTATTAGTGTCTCATATTCTTATTGAAGATGCATATGGCTTTTTCTCAGACAAGAGTGGCTTTGCACACAGAGGGTATTCGATGAATGTTTATTTACTAAGACGCTTTTATATTTGCGATTCTGCCTGTTTTAGGACCGGATTCCCGAACAATGAATAGTAGCTTCGATTCAGAAATGTAAAACCCTAACTCAAAAATTTCAGACCAAGGGATCCAGAAAGTGCCAGATGGGTTTTTGGAAAACGGCTTCTCTCCGGGATAAAGAATAGCTTAGTCGGGATCGTTTTCGGGTCATTCTACCCAGCGCCGGGGCCTATTGCTCTCAGCTCAGAGCGTTCGGAGAAAGTCAACCAATGGGCTCACGCTCCGTATTGTAGCCCCGCCCCCGGCCGCCTTCGCCTGTTTCCCCGCAAGTAAAGCCGCGCAGGGTTGCAGGCGGGCGACACAGACTCTGATACCCAGCGAGCCCGACGACGGCGCAGGACACTCGGACTTCATTTCCCGTCGACCCTCGGAGGCAGTGCCGGAAGCTCGCCCCGCCCCTCATTGTGCGGCTCATACTAAACGGAAGGGGCCGAGAGGGGCCGCGTTCAGTCGGCTCCCGGCAGCAGCTGCAGCGGCTCTTGTTTTCTCTGGCTCTCCTCGCCATCTCCCTTTCGCTTCCGGAGATATGGTGAGCCGCAGGCCACAGCGCCTGATGGGGAGACGGCTGCGGGTCGGTCGCTTGCGCACGGGAGAGAACGGGAGGGCGACGTCTGCACCCCTCCCCCAGCGCCCCGGGCGGAATAAGGGTCTCGCGCTGAGGGGCGGGCGGCGCTGGGACGCGCGTGCGCGCTCGCGGGCTCCGGGAAGAGCCGGCTCGGACGTCGCTCGCGCGCCCCCTGGACTCTCTTCCCTTCCCCCATCCGGCTGATGCGCTCGCCCTGCTCTGAGCCGTGGGGGAGGGGTCGGGGCGCGCAGGAGCGCGCCTCAACCGCGGCGTCGCGCGTCGTTTCATGGAGCCGCGCGTTCAAGAGGCGCACGCTGCATCCGAACTCGGTCTGGGGGTGGCGAGGGAAAAGCGCGCGCGAGTGGTCTCGGCACGCGCATCCCACCCAAGAGCTATTCCTATCTCCGCGTCACCCTCCCTCGGCCAGCGGGTCTTTCTAGAGAGCAGGTGGCAGGGATGCTTGTGCCCGGGAGGGGCGGGGGCGGCGTGATTAGGGGAGATGCCGGGGCAACCGAGTCCAGGTTGGGGCGTGGGTTCCTGGGACTAGGAGCTTAAACCGCAAAGCATGGAGCGGACGCAGCAGAGAGGCAGCAGCCCTGCTTAGGAGCGAACCGGCCTGCAAAGCGAGTCGAGTTCTGGATTGTACATCAGCAAGGGACATAACGGTGCTGTCTGCCAGCGCGTGCGCACACGCCTAGGCTGTGAGCTAACGGTACCTAGTGCTTTCCCCGATGGGGCCTGAGGGAGGGACCGAGTTTAGGGAGTAACCCACGCTGGTACCCGCCTGAAAGCCACCACGCCTCCTGTGTTAGACCTCGTGGCTGTGAGAACCTAAGGTTGTGTAACTTGCCCAGCTCTGCTCTGGCCCGCCGCAGACGGGGCAGATATGTCTGTCGGAAAAGGCGATTCCAGATGTTTGAGACCCTGGAGGTGCTGCTATCTGTCGGGTATGAGTTTCTTTTGGGAAGGGGCCGTGTTTAGCCGATCTCTCCTTCCCACCCACTCCGGAAACGGCAGAGAGTCACATGGCCGGCTTCCTCTGCAGTTCCGCGGGTGGAGCGGACGCAGATTTCACCGTGGACGATTCATTCGCTGTCTAGCTAGGGCTTCCCCAGCTGCACGCTGAGTGATTGCTTAAAGAGTTCTCGAGGACTTTGGACATGAAAGTAGGCTTGTTGATTTATATTAGCGACTTCTAGGACTCTGCTTGCACCATTCCCCGAGGGTAGGGAGTTGTTACGTAGGGTCATAATTAGAGACTGATTTTCGTCTTGGTTGGGAAAACACAGAAGGTCGTTTGTGTAGGAACTGTTAAGAGTTCTGATGGATTTGCTGGAACTGTTGAGCCCTTCTGGTGTCCTAACATCGCCAGTTTTGTTTCCCACTTTCCTGAAGAGTTGGCTACAGCTTGGGTGTTTGGATCCTCCTCTTCATATCAAAGTTCTAAGTCAGCCCTTTTATCTGAGGGCTGAAGATCGACATCACAACCAAGGCTCTCCTCTTAAAGTCTCCCTTCCATGTCTAGCCCTTAAATGAGGAAGGAGGGGTGCTGAACTAGGTGATCAGAAACTTTTTTTTTTAATTTGCTGGTGGAGGCATGCATTACCTGGTAGGAGAGAGGAGAAAGTACAGCCCTTCTCCATTGGGAATGGTCAGTTCATTTCTCCTTTCAGGACTTTGGGTATTGCACACGCCCTGTGCTTTTTTCAAGCTGTTGGCTAGGAGTCTGGCCCAGCAGTCAGCCATGTGGGATCCAGCTATCCTAACTACTAAGTAGCTGGCTGGTGGGAAGTCTCTTCTTGGTTGCCATTCTGGGGTTGTGACCCAAGTGGTTCTTTGACAGCAGCTTGGGTAGGAAAACAGTGACTCATCTTCGGAAGATTAGCAGCTTCTTGGTGTGGGGTTAGTGGTTGTACTTGCCGTTTAGACAGGAACTTACTGAGAAAGCAAAGGAGGGACTTCCTGGGGCATTTCCCAGAATCCTTTTCCGTATGCCTTGTGCCCCAGGCCTCTGGTGTGGCTGTCTCTGATGGCGTCATCAAGGTGTTCAACGACATGAAGGTGCGCAAGTCATCAACACCAGAGGAGGTGAAGAAGCGCAAGAAGGCAGTACTCTTCTGCCTGAGTGAGGACAAGAAGAACATCATCCTGGAGGAGGGCAAGGAGATCCTCGTAGGTGACGTGGGCCAGACTGTCGACGACCCCTACACCACCTTTGTCAAGATGCTGCCAGATAAAGACTGCCGCTATGCCCTCTATGATGCGACCTATGAGACCAAGGAGAGCAAGAAGGAAGACCTGGTGTTCATCTTCTGGTGAGCTCCTCATTCAGGCTCTTGTTCTGAAACCTTGTCCCTTCCTCAGTCTGGGAACTTCTGTGGCTTCTGGTTCACCCAGAGATGTGGGTTTGGTGGTGGGGATTATAACAAAACACTTGTCGATGGGGATCATGACAAAAGCTTAAGTGATAGAGGCCAATCTGGAAACTAGTGCTTAAAGACAATCGCTGCATGTTCTCTTTTGTTTGCCTCCAGGGCCCCTGAGTGTGCACCCCTTAAGAGCAAAATGATCTATGCCAGCTCCAAGGATGCCATCAAGAAGAAACTGACAGGTAAAGAGCAAACATTGGTAGGTCCATGTGTCCTTCGGCTAGGGTCTTGGCTACAGGGTGGGATAAATGGCACGGCAGGGGACTCCTCTCTCTCTTCCCTGCCTGCTGGAAGTAACCTCCATCTGCTCTGATTGGCTCCTTCCCAGCCACGGAAACTCCCTCCCACTCCAGTGCTTCCTGCTCACAGATGCTCTCCCTTCTCCCCTACAGGGATCAAGCATGAATTACAAGCAAACTGCTACGAGGAGGTCAAGGACCGCTGCACCCTGGCAGAGAAGCTGGGAGGCAGTGCCGTCATCTCCCTGGAGGGCAAACCTTTGTGAGCCCCTTCCAGTCCCCTGCCTGGAGCATCTGGCAGCCCCATACCTGCCCTTGGGGGTTGCAGGCTGCCCCCTTCCTGCCAGACCGGAGGGGCTGGGGGGCCCAGCAGGGGAAGGGCGATCCCTTCACCCCAGTTGCCAAACAGCCCCCCCACCCCCTGGACCTTTCTCCTCCCTTCATCCCTGACGGTTCTGGCTTTCCCAAACCGCTTTTGATCTTCTAATTCCTTCTTGGGTTGAAGCAGACCAAGTTCCCCCCAGGCAGGGGGGGCCTGTATTTTTTTTTAACAACACCCCTACTCTCCATCTGTTCCTTCCCTCCCCATGCTGCCAACTTCTAACCGCAATAGTGACTATGTGCTTGTCTGTTTAGTTCTGTGTATAAATGGAATGTTGTGGAGATGATCCCTCCCCGTGCCGGCTGGTTCCCTTCCCTTTTCCGGGTCATGGCCACTCATGGAAGCAGGACCAGTAAGGGACCTTCAATTTAAAAAGATAACTGACAAATAAAAAGACTCATTAATGGATGTTTGTTTCAGGGGAATTTGTGGGGGAGGTCTGCTAGGGGAAGTGAACAGCATCTCTTCTCTGTAGCTGGCCCCAAGGACTGGCTGAGGCTGTCTTGACAGTCACCACTCTTCTGTTGGTCATCCTGTGGCTGGTGCCAGACTGGCTGTGTAAGGGGTGGCTGAGCCCGGGGTGTGTCTGATGGTGGCTCCAGGAGGCCGTCAAGCAGAAGTGGTTTCATGGCTGAACTGGTTGTTTCTGGAGCCTCACCTGGGTGGACAGTGAGGTCCACTCTTGATACCCTGCTCAGTTCTGACCAAGTATGGGCTAATACTGCAGGTCATAGTTGCCTGTTGAGCTTTCTCCACCTTCAAAGGTCTGTCTAGTCTTTTCTCTGCCTCTTCTCCATTGGCCGGCTCACTCAAATTTATGAGGGCCAAGTTCAATGGCTACTGTGAGTCAGAGATCAAGATAAGCCTTTGGCTTTCTATAGACGTTGGAATCCATTCAGGTTTGGGCCAGACAGGTGGAGCCTAGGACTTCAGACCCAGGTATCTTCAGCCCCACCTCCCTGTGTTTAACCAGGAGGGTGTTGCTAGGCCCCTGAGCCTTTGGCCAACTTGTTGTGGCCTGGCTCCAACCTGTACTTTGGGCCTTTCACCTGCCCAATGGGCAAAGGCATCCAAGAAGTCTGGCCCTGGGTTGGGAGAACTGAGGGTGGAAATGTAGAATTTCTACCTCCCCTCCTAGTCAGCTGTACTGAAAAATGAAAAAGCTGCCTTGGAGCTTTGGGAACAGCTCTAGGAGGGAGGCAGAAAGGGCCAGTTCCATTTTTATGGCTGGGAAATAGGGGTAGAGGATTTGTGATTGTCTTAAACATGTCTCCATGCTAGGGTTTACGGGGCTGGGAGCAAATTTTGAAGACTGTTCGGGGTCTTGGACCTTTCCTTGAAGAGCCAGCCCACTGCCCCTAGGCCGTTGTAGGAGTGCCGTCTGTCCCCGGGTTGTGGTCTTGCATCCCCTGGCAGAGGTATGTGAAGTCAGGACAACCAGGCCCTCTTGCTACAAAACCAGGCTCTTTATTTGTGAAGAATACTCTGGGAGCAGATAATCTTACAGAGGGGCAGGGTGGGGTCCCTGGGCTAAGCTTTTCTGTGGCCACATGTCCCATGCTACCCTGGTCTTCCTCTTGCAGGGCTCTGCACCTTTGGGAGGGAGTGGGGCTCAGGCTTGCCCTGGGAGGATGTGGGACAGGTAAGGGCTTGGCCAGGAGCCTTTGTGGTGGGGAGGAGGCATCCTGCTAAGGAGGGAGGTCTGAGAGACCTTGGCACTGCAGGTTCCAGAGCAGGGGCTGGCAGTTCTAAGGCTCCCCCTTGAGGGCAACAAGGGTGTTCCGGAGAAGCAAGGTGCTGGCCTGCAGAGGAAAGAGGCCAAAGTCCTTTGTTTGCTCCTACCTGGCTCCCTGAGACAGGGTGCTGTTCCTTCTGCACCTCAGCACTCAAGTCCCCTTCCCACCCTCAGCAATAACAGCTGCTCACTGTTAACAGTAAAGGGAAGTGTCCAGGCCGATGATGGGAAAATGGCCTTGAGCCTCAGCCGGTCCCCTGCCGGGAGCATCGGCCAGCCCCATCCCTGCCCTTGGGGGTGGCAGGCTGCCCCCTTCCTGCCAGACCGGAGGGGCTGGGGGGCCCAGCAGGGGAAGGGCGATCCCTTCACCCCAGTTGCCAAACAGCCCCCCCACCCCCTGGACCTTTCTCCTCCCTTCATCCCTGACGGTTCTGGCTTTCCCAAACCGCTTTTGATCTTCTAATTCCTTCTTGGGTTGAAGCAGACCAAGTTCCCCCCAGGCAGGGGGGGCCTGTATTTTTTTTTAACAACACCCCTACTCTCCATCTGTTCCTTCCCTCCCCATGCTGCCAACTTCTAACCGCAATAGTGACTATGTGCTTGTCTGTTTAGTTCTGTGTATAAATGGAATGTTGTGGAGATGATCCCTCCCCGTGCCGGCTGGTTCCCTTCCCTTTTCTCCTGGTCATGGCCACTCATGGAAGCAGGACCAGTAAGGGACCTTCAATTTAAAAAGATAACTGACAAATAAAAAGACTCATTAATGGATGTTTGTTTCAGGGGAATTTGTGGGGGAGGTCTGCTAGGGGAAGTGAACAGCATCTCTTCTCTGTAGCTGGCCCCAAGGACTGGCTGAGGCTGTCTTGACAGTCACCACTCTTCTGTTGGTCATCCTGTGGCTGGTGCCAGACTGGCTGTGTAAGGGGTGGCTGAGCCCGGGGTGTGTCTGATGGTGGCTCCAGGAGGCCGTCAAGCAGAAGTGGTTTCATGGCTGAACTGGTTGTTTCTGGAGCCTCACCTGGGTGGACAGTGAGGTCCACTCTTGATACCCTGCTCAGTTCTGACCAAGTATGGGCTAATACTGCAGGTCATAGTTGCCTGTTGAGCTTTCTCCACCTTCAAAGGTCTGTCTAGTCTTTTCTCTGCCTCTTCTCCATTGGCCGGCTCACTCAAATTTATGAGGGCCAAGTTCAATGGCTACTGTGAGTCAGAGATCAAGATAAGCCTTTGGCTTTCTATAGACGTTGGAATCCATTCAGGTTTGGGCCAGACAGGTGGAGCCTAGGACTTCAGACCCAGGTATCTTCAGCCCCACCTCCCTGTGTTTAACCAGGAGGGTGTTGCTAGGCCCCTGAGCCTTTGGCCAACTTGTTGTGGCCTGGCTCCAACCTGTACTTTGGGCCTTTCACCTGCCCAATGGGCAAAGGCATCCAAGAAGTCTGGCCCTGGGTTGGGAGAACTGAGGGTGGAAATGTAGAATTTCTACCTCCCCTCCTAGTCAGCTGTACTGAAAAATGAAAAAGCTGCCTTGGAGCTTTGGGAACAGCTCTAGGAGGGAGGCAGAAAGGGCCAGTTCCATTTTTATGGCTGGGAAATAGGGGTAGAGGATTTGTGATTGTCTTAAACATGTCTCCATGCTAGGGTTTACGGGGCTGGGAGCAAATTTTGAAGACTGTTCGGGGTCTTGGACCTTTCCTTGAAGAGCCAGCCCACTGCCCCTAGGCCGTTGTAGGAGTGCCGTCTGTCCCCGGGTTGTGGTCTTGCATCCCCTGGCAGAGGTATGTGAAGTCAGGACAACCAGGCCCTCTTGCTACAAAACCAGGCTCTTTATTTGTGAAGAATACTCTGGGAGCAGATAATCTTACAGAGGGGCAGGGTGGGGTCCCTGGGCTAAGCTTTTCTGTGGCCACATGTCCCATGCTACCCTGGTCTTCCTCTTGCAGGGCTCTGCACCTTTGGGAGGGAGTGGGGCTCAGGCTTGCCCTGGGAGGATGTGGGACAGGTAAGGGCTTGGCCAGGAGCCTTTGTGGTGGGGAGGAGGCATCCTGCTAAGGAGGGAGGTCTGAGAGACCTTGGCACTGCAGGTTCCAGAGCAGGGGCTGGCAGTTCTAAGGCTCCCCCTTGAGGGCAACAAGGGTGTTCCGGAGAAGCAAGGTGCTGGCCTGCAGAGGAAAGAGGCCAAAGTCCTTTGTTTGCTCCTACCTGGCTCCCTGAGACAGGGTGCTGTTCCTTCTGCACCTCAGCACTCAAGTCCCCTTCCCACCCTCAGCAATAACAGCTGCTCACTGTTAACAGTAAAGGGAAGTGTCCAGGCCGATGATGGGAAAATGGCCTTGAGCCTCAGCCGGGGCAGAGATTGTGCCTGGGGGAGGGCTCACCTTGGCATGTTTGAGCTCCAACTCTGCCAGCTCTATGAGGTTCTTGCGGAAAGAGGAGACCCGGCGGGACTTGAAGTCCATGAGCTCTGTAAAGGAGAAAGAAGAGGAATGGGGAGCAGGCAGGGTAGGTAACCAGGGGCTGAGGGCTGGGAGCTGCAGAGCTCACCCTGCTTGGCCGAATCGGAGAGGCGTTCAAAGCGTTGGCAGCATAGCTGCTGGTGGCTCTCTGCAGGCCGCACCTCCCGGTTCTTGGTGCGCGCCTTGTCCAGGGCCTTGTTGGCATTCTCATAGTCTGCGAGGGCCCTCAGCCGCCGGTACAGCAGGTCCTAGGGCCATAGGCAGGGGGGCAGCGCTGCCCACAGCCCTCACCTGTTTGATCTTCCCAACCACTCCATCCCCACTGGCCCTGAGGTCCCCTCTGGGGCCTCTCACCTTAGCTGCTTGTGAATCTCGCATGTAGTACCTCAGCATGTCTGACAGCTTCAGGTCCTCATCAGAGGCTACTCGGCCCTCTAGCTTCTGGCTCAGAAAAGCAGAGGAAGCTTGTTACTGGGTAGCTAAGGGTGGGAGGCTCCTCATCTAAATACCCAGCAGAGTGTCACTGGAAGACCATCCTAGGTCAGGCCAGAAGGCTTCAAAGAGGAAGTGAGTGGCATCTGACCTGGATGTTAGGGGCTGAGTAGGAGTTGGACAGAATCAAGGCCTTGCAAGTGTTCAGGAAACCTTAGGTTCAGTGGGAGCACTCAGGCAAAGCAAGGAAGGGAGGCAGGGGCCAGGTCGCTGAAGACTAAAGTACAAGCTAAGGACTGGCTTTGTGTCTTGGGTAGGTTCTGGAAGGAACTGATGTCTAAAGGGCCTCCAGCAGGAAAGAGATGTGGCCCAGCAGACATTAGGAACACACACACATCAGTGACTTCCTTGGAGAAGAGTTTGGGAAATGTGTCTGGGCCACATCCTGGTGGCTCTGTACAGCTTGCCAGTCACATGGCACATCCTTGTGCATCGAAGAGAACCAGTTCCCACCCTTCCCCCATCACATACACACTTGAGACTTGAGTCCTTGTCTTCACCCTCCCCTCTTACTAGACTAGCCTGGAGCGTGAGCCCAGGGCGCCACTGGACCCAAGTCATCACTGCATGTTCCGAAAGGGTCCCGAAAGGGTCCCGGCTTTCCCTCTCTCCCAAGACTTATCTCCGTACAAAAGCTCGCTGGGGAGGCCTTTGGCCACAGGGGCACTACTCACCCTCAGTCGCTCAAAGAGCTCTGCCAACTTGAGGAAGCTCCTAGGAGGTGATGGGGAAGTTAAGGCAGGGGTCTGAGGGACACCTCCAAGCCTCCCTGCCCTCTCCCCTCCTTCAGGAATCCCTCTCCCCTTTCTCTCCCAAACCCTCACAGGAGCTTCTTTACCGCCCACCTAGAACTGACAGTACACTACAGAGTGGCCCCTCAAGGGCAGACAGTATACAGATGGGGGAAGGGCAGGAGGGTGAAAGGGAGTCCTCACGTCTTGAGCTGGTTGACTTCCTGTGCTCCCAGACTGCTCAGTGCAGCCGAGATAGGGATATAGTCGTCTGCCAGGCCTGTTGGGGAACAACCCCCATCAGAGCCCCTAGGTCTGCATGCCAAACCCCACCCCTGATGTTTGTGACCACGGACAGACTTCTCTCCCCCAGGGTATCCAGGGCCCACTGGGTCCTGCGTACACTTGTGGGAGTGCATGACGCGGTCGGCCCGCAGGCAGGCGTCACGGATACGGGTGTGGTATTCCAGCAGAAAGGTCCTCTCGTGCTCAAAGAAGTCATCCACCTCCTAGGGGCACCAGACGAACCCACTTAGACCAGGCCACCAGGAGCATTGGCGGCACAGGTCCCCAGAGGTGGCTTCCACAGCCAGCCTGGGCCTCAATCCTTGACGTGGACTTGAGGCCTGGGGATGAGCTCAGAGAGGGGCTCCACAGGTTACCTTGAGCCCTGACATGCCAGTGATGAGGGCTTCGTCTGCAGACTTCACAATATTCCTCAGAAACCCCCCCAGGAGCTCCTTCCTGTTCTTTCCTCTGACACTGAGCTGAGGCACACAGGAAGGGTGTGATTTTAGAGTGGGCCTTTGCACTCCCATGCCCAGTCACGTGCACTTAGAGGATTCAGCCCTGCTCCCCCTGCCCCAGTGCATGGCCCAGCTCACATCCTGTCCGTATTCCAGAAAGACAAAGAAGTTGTGGTCTCTGCGCAGGGTGGGGTGGGCCGCCAGGCGCTGCAGAAAGACTTCATGCATCGCAACTGTCTTCTTAAAGATAGCCAGGTACTCCCTGCAGGAGGAGCAGGCGGCTCAGGGCCTCCTTGGCTCCCATCCTTCTGCCCCCTTCCCCTCAGCCACCCTGGGGTGGGAGGCCAGGGTCCTATCTGTAGGTAAGAGCTAGGGAAGCAAGCATGGGGAGTGTGTGACTGGGGCTTCACCACAGGCCAGGAAAGGTGCTGTCACTCACGCTTCGAGCTCCTGCTTCATTTTGGCAAACTCTTCCCGAGTGATGGAGCTGTCCCCTTCACCCAGCTTCTGCAGTTTCTCCCGTGAAGCCTCAAAATCTGGCTTTGGAGGAGCTGGGGGGATCTGCTCAAAAAAGAGACAGAGCTGGGAGGCCTTTCACTGCTGAGGAGGCCATGACAGCTTTCCAGCCTCATTCGAGTGCCAGGCCTGCCCCCTCAGCCCCAGCCCAGCCCGTCCTCACGATGAGACCGGCGTACTCCTCGTTTTCCACGTAGGCATCATGCAGCCAGATGAATTCTTCATGCTGCCGGACCACAGAGAACTCGGTCTGGGCGAAGTGAGGGAGGCAGCTCTGGAAGCCGAAAGCCTGTCTGAGGTCTCCCAGCCCTTCCCCAAATCCTGCTTTCATCCAACCTCCTGGGCACTCACTTTTGGGCCTCCCACATATCCCAGGCAAGGCCCAAACTGGGACTCTTGTGTCCATGATTTCACTCAGGATGTGGACAGGGGTGGCTGGGGCTCAGGTCAGGCAAAGGCAGCCAGAGGCTAGACGGGATGCTCATTTTCTAAGAGGGCTGAGGGCAAGAGCCAGGTTGAGGAACGGGTTCCAAAGACCGTGGTGGCATCAGCCTACCACCCCCGGGCAAGCCTCATGCAGGTGGCCATCTGGGATCCCCATTTCTTATGCCACCTCACCTTGGTCTGAACGGTGAATTTCACCTTGTCCCGCTCACTCACTGCATCAGAGATCTCCACTTGTAAGGAGCTGTCTCCCTGCAGATCCACCGATACACAGGAAGGCTGCGGGAGAGGAGAGGTCTCTGACATGACAGCTCAGCCCGTTTACCCATCCTCCTCACTGGCCCCTGATCCTCCTGCAGAGCCCTCTTCAG